GTCTCTCTCTCTCTCTCTCTCTCTCTCTCTCTCTCTCTCTCTCTCCCTCGCTCTCGCTATTTATGTGTCAAATATAAATGTAAACATAGTAATAAGATTATAGTATTTTATTTATAAAGTATTATGGTCCCGTGTCATCCTATCAACTCACCGCGAAGAGTCATGTCAACAGAGCTATCAAGATCAAGGCTAACATCGCCACCATCGACTGCTCGCTTCACTCTCCACTCATCTGTTTCATTAGGTGGATCAGACACTCCAAAAATGGTCAGAAGCACAGTTTTCACATACCCGGCATCTGATTTCTAAAAAAGAATATATATATATATATATATATATAATATATATTATATATATAATATATATATACATATATATTATAATATAATTATATATAACGGTAATCGTGTGTGATAGACGTTGATGTATGTGTGCGTGTGTACTGTGATGGCGGTGTAGTATCGTGTGCGTGTGCTGCTGTGTGTGTAGTGTGTGTGTGTGTTGTGTGTGTGTGCGTGAAGTGTGTGAGAGAGAGAGAAAGTGTCGTGACTGTGTGTACGTGTTTGTGTGAAGTGATAGTGTCGTGCGTAGCGTAGTGTGTGTGTGTGTGCTGTGTGTGTGTGTGTGAGAGAGAGAAAGAGAGTACTGTGTGTGTGTGTGTGAGAGAGAGAGAAGAGAGAGAGATGTGCGTGTCGTGGTAGTGTGTGTGTGCTGTGTGATGTGTGTGCTGTGTGTGTCGTGTGTGCTTGTGTGTGTGAGAGAGAGAGAGAGAGAGAGTGTGTGTGTCGTGCGTGTGTGTGTGATGTGTTGTGCTGGCAGTGTGGCCGTGTGCGTGTGCGTAGTTGTATGTGTGTGTGTGTAGTGATGGGTTTGTGTGAAGTGTGTGTGATGTTTGTGCGTAGTTTGTAGTGTGTTAGTGCTGCGTGTGTGATGTACCGTGTTTAGCTGTGCGTGAGCTGTTGCGATGTGATGTGTGTATGTGTGCAATGTGTGTATGTGTGGTAGTGTGTGTTGTGTGTAGTGTAGTCGTGTGTGAAGTGTGTGTGTACGTGGTGTGTGTGTGTGAATGTGAGTGAAGTGATGTGTATGGTGGTGTGTGTGTGTGTGTGATTAGTGTGTGATCGTGTTAGTGTGAGCGATAGTGTGTGAGTGTGCGTGCTGCGTGAAGGTGTGCNTAATTTGCTCGATCATAATTTATATTATGATAATTAATCATAATAATTAAATGAAATTATAGAATAATTCTGTATCATCAACATAATTAGTTAATTATATTGAAAATATGAAAGATTTTTATACCTTACGATGATAACAGTGTGTGTGCGTGTGCGTGAGTGTGCGTGCATGCGTGCTCGTACGTCAATATATGTGTGTGCGTGTGTGTGGTGTGCGCGTATAGGTGTGGCAGTACGTGTGGTAGTGTAAAAGGAAATATTCCGCAAATTACGTACGAATTGTAGGCGCCTACCATCCTATCAAGTTCTGCTTGCTGAAGCTCCAGAAGCTCCACCTGCTTCTGTAACTGGTGAATTTCCTCTCCGGCAGAATATTCTCTAAATTATATATTAAATACCACTTTAAAATTGAAAGAAAAAAAACTGAGCAGAACAGAAATATTCTCATTTTTGACTTTTGATCTTCACAGACGTTTAAATGCTCAGTGGATTTACCATTGATTTTATTGTATATTAATTTTCAATAAATTATTAGTTGTATTTTTAATAGTTTTGATAACATATATAATAAATAATTATATAAATATTATATTTATAGTGACTATTTGCAATTAATCATAATAATAATTTGCTCGATCATAATTTATATTATGATAATTAATCATAATAATTAAATGAAATTATAGAATAATTCTGTATCATCAACATAATTAGTTAATTATATTGAAAATATGAAAGATTTTTATACCTTACGATGATAACAGTGAGTAGTGCCGACATCAGAGCTAAGAGGACGCACGCACATACGGCCAACAAACGTGAACAACCTCCATTCCCCCGGTGACCAATGTCATTTTTCAGCATTTCCATCGTCGTCGAAGAGTTGCCGCGTCTTTCTAAAAAGGGAGACCTAACTTTTTATGTTATCAGGGGCTCATAATTATAATAATAATTATATGATGATATTGGGTATATAGGCCGGATATTTTTCTGTCATTCCAAGTCGGAATAACGTAATTATAGCACGGCAACAAGCATTGCTCAAAATGCGTGTCACGGTTTGGTAATGAGTGCCGTAATTTATGGTTCTTTACTTACTGCGAAAATATCGAAAATACCTTTTTTTAAATAATATTTCATGACATTTCTCAGTTATGAGAGCTAAAGGCGCAGCTATAAACTAAACGTGTATAGATATTCATCAGAGCGTAATAATTACCTTTATATAATATATTATCTTTATAAGACACCTTTATTCATCAGTAGCCGGTGCAAAATGCATGAGTGTAAAACTAAATACCATCTATTACGTGTGTAACTTTCTTGCCTCTTAGTCTTTCCGATTTCTACCCTGCGTTGTGTTTTAAACCCACGGCCGGTTACAACGGCCGGCCCTTCAACTCGATCAACAGGATTGGTGAGGTTTAGCTTAGTCGCCGCCGTTAGTGATGGTGGGCCACTACGCAAGAAATGCTCAAGATACACGTACAACAGCTACCGTTAAGGCGCACGGCCACAAAGCCGCGCGTTATTAGCGCCGGTAAACACAAAATGGCCAAAGCGACAAAGAACGGGTACGACCAACTGTTTACAGTAAAACGCGCCATTTCACAAATCGGTCGCAGGCTCGACAACCACACCAGTTTTGCACACTTCACGGCGTCTCTCTCAAAATCATATCTCGGCTCGACCAACAACTACCAGTTCTTTTCCCCAAATGGCGCCGCTTCCTTTCCGCTTCGGAAGTATACCGCTTACGGCAGGGTCGCTCACAAACACGAAAGTAACAACCGACGCTACCCCTAACCTGGACTGGCTGCTCGCCACGGCGTATCGTTTTTCCGCAGGGTCCCCACTTAGACCCACACTCTGCGAAGGGTAGCGCAACTCCGAGGCGGCCCAGCTAGGTCCTGCCGACTTAAATGTCGCAGGACAAACATCCCCAAAAACATTTTCCAAGGTCGCACATTAGCTGACTAAAGTCCACTCCTTCTTTTACCCCTTTCCCGGGGCATTCCGCCTCCAATTGGGCGTGTCGTCGCGGTGGGTCGTCAGCGGTCGGCGGTGGTCCGCCCCGGTCGCGGCGGTCGCGGTGGGTCGCGTGGTCGCCCGGGTCGCGGTGGGTCCGCCCGGGTCGCGTGGGTCGCGGTGGTCGCCCGCGGTCGCGGCGGTCGCGTGGGTCCGGTGGGTCGCCCTGGGGTCGCGGTGGGTCGACCCGGGTGCCGCGGTGGGTCGCCCCGGGTCGCGTGGTCGCCGTGGTCGCGGTGGTCCCGGTGGTCGCCCTGGGGTCGCGGTGGCGTCGCCCGGGACGCGGTGGGCTCGGCCCTGGGGTCGCCCCGGTCGGCGTGGGTCGGCGTGGGTCGCGGTGGGTCGCTGGTGTCGCCTGGGTCCGCGGTGGGTTCGCGCCGGGTCGCGTGGGTCGGCGGTGGGTCGCCCCGGGTCGCGGTGGGTTCGGCCCGGGTCGCGCCCCTGGGCGCGTGGGTCGCCCCGGGATCGCGGTGGGTCGCCCGGGTCGCGGTGGGTTCGGCGGTGGTCCGCCCCGGTCGCGTGGGTCGCGTGGTCGCCCCGAGTCGGGCGGTGGTCGCCCCGGGTCGCGGTGGGTCGCCGTGGTCGCCCCGGGTCGCGGTGGGTCGCCCGGTCGGGTCGCGGTGGTCGCTCCGGGTCGCGGTGGGTCGCCCGGTCGCGGTGGTCG